TCTGTTCCAAAGTTGGTATATTTTAAAAAGATTTACCGTGGCGGAGCACGGGATGCAGCTAGTATAATATATAAGCGGGCTGAGCGTGTGTCAGTCCTTCCTTCCGTCATCGTTATAGATTTTGGAACCATAAAAGTAAACATTGCACCATGCAGTGCTTTTCAGTGCACCGCAGTGTCTTATTATAAATTATAGAGTAGGGTTTGTTTAAATAAGGAAATAAAGTTATTTTATAAATGCCACTGTTTTTTTTACTCTTTCGCATAACGTAAAGAAACGTAAATACACGCACCTTTCTAAAACATATTAAAAGGATCAATGTCAAATATCATTTTCGTTTAGATTCCCAGAAAAAGTGGATAATTTTAATAACGTAATAACAGTAGGGTAGAAAAATCAAATTAATTTAACTCCTTTTTCTAATTTTGACAAAGGAGGTAATTTAAAAATAAATTAAACTCACGCTAATAAAAAACAAGGTAATTAAAAAGTCTAGTGACAATTTTAGCGAAATTTCCTTATGTTATCTAAAATTAGCTCTGTCGTAGCGTAAATCAAGAGCAGGGTTAGTAAAACCATTGGTTAGTTATTAAAACGATTTTTATTTAAAAAAATTTCAGTAGTTTACATGTTTTATTTACAATAGAGTTACATGACTAAAAACCATTGCGCGCCTAGCTACCGAACGTGATGGCGCAGCCATTGAACGTGATGGCGCAGCTATTGAACGTGATGACGCGTGTGGTGTGGTTGGATAAACATGCCTACTAATTCGGTCCAAATTTTAATTAATTCAAAAAAAAATTTGTGACCGAACGAAAGGATATTTTTGAAAACTTTCTTCGGCAATATTGTTCTAAATTATGGCAGGAATCGATTGGTAAATGTTTCAAGTCGCTAAGTGGTCTGGTTGCCGAGATATGGGCCAAAAACTGCATTTTTTCGAGGTTTTTTGGCTTTTCCGAGAAATCCATGAAAGAAACCCGGAATTTTTTTGGCCCACTATCATCCTGGTAACTTGCTTAACATAATTGCTTTTCAAACTAGTCCTCGATATTGCTTCGTTGAGGAGGAGATACGACTTAAAGCTGCTGACACACATTCATACATTCATACATCCAGAAATGACGGGTTAATAAACGCAATTCTCCAGAATGGAAACTGCGCTAAAAATGTGAATGCAAATCTACGGACGTTCTAGAAGGAATTTGTGTTGCAATAATATAATTAGCAAAATGTGAATGCAAATTGTGCGGATGTGGAAGAGGAAATTATTGTTAGAAAATTATAATTAGCATGGATTGATAAAAGGCAATCTTTTATTTATTTCATTCACTGAATTTACTGTTTACTACTTATAATGTTTTATCAACTATTCCGCAATATTATAGACGCGTCATCACGTTCATTGGGTGCGCAATGGTTTTAGTTATGAAACTCTATTGTAAATTTTTAAAATTTAAAGTACTGGAAAAAAATGCGTGAATTGATAAAGTGATACATGGTAGGTAAAACACGGATATTTTAAATATTGCCTATTATTTATTGTATATTATTTATTATTATTCTATCTTTCGGTTTGCGGACAAGCTGGGGGTTTTATAGGAGAGGCGTAGCGAGGGGGGGCATATGTCCCCGGGTGCCGACCTTAGGGGGCGCCAAAGTCTGTTGAAAAAAAATTGCGAGGGGTGTGGAAATCGAAAGTTTTAGGGCGGGAGGGGGGTGCAAATCGAAAGTTTGAGGGGGGTGCAAATCAAAATTTTAAGGGGGTGGAGTGGACATTGAAATTTTGAGGGGAGGGGGTGCAAATCGTGAGTTTGAGGGAGGGTCAAAACGAAAGTTAGTCCCCGGGCGCCGGAAAGGGTCGCTACGCCTCTGTTTTGTAGTCATTCACTGTGTCAGGCGCGTCCGCCGGCGCTCAGAAAGGGCGCGATTTGGCGCTGCGGGCTAGACTGTGAGCAATATGCCTTTATGATTGCATTTAAATTGTGTTTATGTTATGAGTGTTGTGTTTGTTTTTTCGTTTGTGTTTTTTTTTAAATATCCTAATTTTTGTGCATATTACTAGATGCTCATAAAATATATTATAATGAATATACGAATAATTACTATAAAGATGCCCCTACAGTGCATGGGAATAATTTGGTCACAAGTACTCAAAAAGATGCCCCTACGCTATACCAAATAAATATCACAGACATTTATTAAGGGAATATCAATGACTACCATAGGACTACTACTTCACTGATGCCCGCTTTTTCGATATAAGTTTTGCCATACGGACAGTGTAATGTTAAAACGAGTGACAGACGATTAAGTGTTACAATTTGTTTTGGGTGAGATCGGCAAACATATGGAAAGTTTTGATGACACCATGACACAACGTATCGCAACTTTTTTTTAATTACCCCGGTGGATGCCCCTCCCCCAGTGGTGGATGCCCGGGGCCTTCCGCCCTTCCCCCCCCCCTTCTGCACGCCACTGGATCACAAAACAATTAAAACTACAGCTCTGTTACCATTCCCTGTTAAAATCAGAAACCAACAGCCCGAAAGCATTGCAAGATATTTTAATTAAAACGTTTGCTACATATTGACCAGAAGAATGTAATTAAAATAATTGATTATGAATTACACAATATACCAGAATCAGATGGTTCAACGCTTGATGCCCCACCCCATCGCTAGCCTGATTAAATAGTATAGGGCTAAACCTATTGATTAGTTTTGCTCTACTTTGCACTAAGCCACTGAAATATTGGATCAGTAAGCTGATATTGAAGGCTTTGTAAATATTAGCTCTAGGACTGAGAGTTACCAAAAAAATTAATTGTTTTTCAATGCGGGTATTCACAAGCAGTTTAAAAACTACCAGAGCGTGCATTCGTTCCATGAAGTTGTATCAACAATTGGCTGTGGGCTTAGTGACACGCCGATTGGCTCTGTGGGCTTAGTGATATCCTGATTGGCTCTGTGGGCTTAGGGACACGCCGATTGGCTCTGTGGGCTTAGTGATATCCTGATTGGCTCTGTGGGCTTAGTGATAGGCCCTATCCTGATTGGCTCTGTGGGCTTAGTGACATGCTGATTGGCTCTGTGGGCTTAGTGACATGCTGATTGGCTCTGTGGGCTTATTGCTTAGTGACACCATGAGTGGGCTTGCTGTCACATGACTATTTAAATACAAGGATCCTACTGAAAGACTTATTCCATTTCTAACTCATGCATTATTTTCATATGATCTCAAATCTTTACTTACCTAATATAATTAAATTATAATACATTTATAAATGTACATTTATAAATGTACATCTAAAAAAATTATTTTAGAGTTTTAAGCAAAAACAGAAAATTTTAAACTAATCTGTATACGTGTGGGCGATAATAAACCATATTATTCAAATAATTGGGCAAATTTATTTATATCTAAATATAAAATAAGTATACACAAAATACTAATATTAAAGACTTCTAGGTCTAAAAAGATTTGTCATTTTTTGGAAAAACTAGACCCTCATCACAATTCAGTGCTGCTTTAAAATCCATTAGGTCACAAAAATCAAAAATGGATGTATTGTTAATTTTTTCGTATACAGAGTAGATCTAGAGGAAGTATTGCACCATGCAAAAAAATCACATGGGGTCATCCATAAATGACGTCACGTTTTTTTGTCGATTTTTACCCCCCCCCCCCCCTCTCCCTCACACGTCGTCACAAAAAGCCAGACCCCCCCCCCCCCCCCCCCACTAAAATGACATCACATCTATATTCTATTTTTAAAAGTAAGTAATTAAAAATGGATTAAAAATCATGTCTATATCCCGAGGTGCCACCACTCGTAGTGTTGCATAAGAATTTGAGAAAGTTTAGGGGAAATCACGCCAGGTTTATTTAACGTGTTCTTTTGTTATGTAAAAGTATTTACTACATGAGCTAAAACAATAGACAGGTACAAATGGAACAAAGTTGACTGGCAACCCGGTAGGGTTCATACAATGGCCTTAACATTGTAAACAATATCTTCAAACGTCAGTTCATGTTTCTTGACCTCAACATATGAGGGGTTGGTGTAGTCAGCACCATGTCCAGCCACCTATATCTTACCTGCGAGGTACCCATCAGAGCTGGGTGGACTAGAGTCAGGTACCCATCAGAGCTGGGTGGACTAGTCAGGTACCCATCAGAGCTGGGTGGACTAGAGTCAGGTACCCATCAGAGCTGGGTGGACTAGAGTCAGGTACCCATCAGAGCTGGGTGGACTAGAGTCAGGTACCCATCAGAGCTGGGTGGACTAGAGTCAGGTACCCATCAGAGGTGGGTGGACTAGAGTCAGGTACCCATCAGAGCTGGGTGGACTAGAGTCAGGAACCCATCAGAGCTGGGTGGACTAGAGTCAGGTACCCATCAGAGCTGGGTGGACTATAGGATTATGTCCTGACAGAGATTCCCCCCAACCCCCAAATTTTACTATCAACTTTTTAACAGATGAATTAAAACGCTTATTTTTTAATATTATAACTATACAGGATATTTAATTTTTTTAATATCATCACCAATTTATTGTATTATAAGTATGTCAAATATTTCTGTAATGAAAACCAGAAAACTGGAATATGTCTGTTATTTTAAAACCCAACTCATCACAATACTCTACACATTTTTCTATAGTAACAATAACAGAATCTAAATTGGTTTTTTTACAATACACCTTTATTCTAATTAATAAGAGCATCTAAATTATTTACACCTGCATTCTAATTTTTTATTTTGCTAATTGAACGTATTTAGTATCATTATAAAGCTTCTGTTCAGGAAAATATAACAGTTATGATCATTGGATCATTATGAACACAACAAGACAATTTGACAAGGAAAGATTTTTCTTAAGTTTTTTCCAGTTTTCCTTTTTATTCTTATCTTGTTGCAAAAAAAAAAGTCATTGGCTAAGTCATGCTTTTCATGGTTTACTTCAAATTATTTTTTTCTTTTTAATTATTAAAGGAATTTTATCCAGCAAAACATACACTTTTGATATTTCTAAAGGAAAATGTCATAGAAAGATTAAGATCTGCTCATTAGAAATATGAAATCCATTTGGGATCTATACATGTATGAACATTTTGAACAAAAATTTGTCCATTTAAGCTGGTTTGTCACAATTATTGAATTGTGACTTTTTTCTTACTTGCAGCATTTTAGTTAGTTAAATAGTTATAGTTTTTATATGTTAATGAAAGCAGTGTATTTTCACATAATTTACAAAGTCAAAAAAGGGTAATCAATATTACACTCCACTCACAAACCACATACACACTAAACACAATTTTTTAATATGTAAATGAACTGAACTTCCATCCTTGATATTTGCTCAACAATCCCTACTAAATTCATCAATTATGTTTGAATGAAACATTGATAATAAACACTCACTCTTTTGAAAAACCAATGATATAAAAACCCATAAAATGGAAAATACCATCAATTATTTTTTCAAAGATTTCATTGAATTATTGTAGACATGTGAATGTTTCTGTAGTGCTAAGGTCATTTTTTTTCAGTAGTGGCTCCTCCAGCTACTGCCACCATTTTTTTGTAGTACTCCTGGTTGCCAATAGCATCCAGCATAAATTTGGCCAGGTCTTGTCGTGTGATGCTGTTGTTGGTGATGTCAGGCACATACAAACCTTCATTCACTAGCACTTTTTCACCTAGAAATCAGTCACATTTTTGTTAAATATATTCATAAACTCTAGTTCTGTATTTTCTCTTCCCCCCCCCCCCCCTCCCACATAAGCCTCATTCTAGATTGAAAGATTGAAGCTTTGACTACAAAACAGAATGAAAAATAAAAGATTTAGAGATTACCATCAGAAGGGTCAGTGGTAAGCCGAGGGGGTCGAACAACTGTGTAGTTAATGTCACTGCAATCTGTGAGCAGGAACTCCTCAAACACCTCCATGTCTTTAACTATGTTGCGCAGGAAGGAGGGCTTGAGCACCCAACGCCAGATGAAGGGAAGACCAGGATCATCTGTCAACAAGTCAACATTAGTCTAGAGCTTAAGTCAACATTAGTCTAGAGCTTAAGTCAACATTAGTCTAGAGCAGGGGTCTCCAAACTTTTCAGTCCGAGGGCCGTATTAACTATCAAATTTCAGTTCGGGGGCCAGTTTCTTCCAGGCATGTCTAAGATTTTTCTGGGCAAAGTTCCTCAGCCATCACCAACAAACGGTTTTTCCGTGGACAAAAAGATCTCCGCGGGCCGGATAAGAGGACATCGCGGGCCGGATGTGGCCCGCTGGCCGTAGTTTGGAGACCCCTGGTCTAGAGCTTAAGTCAACATTAGCCTAGAGCTTAAGTCAACATTAGCCTAGAGCTTAAGTCAACATTAGCCTAGAGCTTAAGTCAACATTAGCCTAGAGCTTAAGTCAACATTAGCCTAGAGCTTAAGTCAACATTAGCCTAGAGCTTAAGTCAACATTAGCCTTGAGCGCAAGTCAACATTAGCCTAGAAGTTAAGTCAACATTAGTCTAGAGTTTAATGAGTAAACAATAGTGTCAAGTTTTTAAAAAAAAGTAATCCAGTATTCCATCAATTGACCAGTGTTACAGTGTGTAGTTTTGTAATGAAGATGACCTTTAGTCCCCCAAGCAGTGACAGCAATCAACCTTTTCAGGCCAGCCTCCCTCATGGCTTTGACCACAGCTTGACCACACTTGGAGTAGACATCACATGGCGTCATGATGCCGGCTTTACCACCCAGTGCTGAGACAACAACATCACAGCCTTTCAAGTGGTCCACTAGTTCATCACTCTTCTCGAGGTCTGCATGGACCACCTACAAACAGGGTCAGTGGCTCAGGATATAAGGCTACATGTGTCTGATATAAGGCTACATGTGTCTGATATAAGGCTACATGTGTATGATAAAGGCTACATGTGTCTGATATAAGGCTACATGTGTCTGATATAAGGCTACATGTGTATGATAAAGGCTACATGTGTCTGATATAAGACTACATGTGTATGATATAAGGCTACATGTGTCTGATATAAGGCTACATGTGTCTGATATAAGGCTACATGTGTCTGATATAAGGCTACATGTGTCTGATATAAGGCTACATGTGTCTGATATAAGGCTACATGTGTCTGATATAAGGCTACATGTGTCTGATATAAGGCTACATCTGTCTGATATAAGGCTACATCTGTCTGATATAAGGCTACATGTGTCTGATATAAGGCTACATGTGTCTGATATAAGGCTACATGTGTCTGATATAAGGCTACATGTGTCTGATAAAGGCTGCATGTGTCTGATATAAGACTACATGTGTCTGATATAAGACAACATGTCATGTCCAGTGTTAACATCTCATGTCATGTCCAGTATTAACATCTCATGTCATGTCTAGAGTTAACATGTCATGTCCAGTGTTAACATGTCATGTCCAGTATTAGCACCTCATGTCATGTCTAGTGTTACATCTCTAGTAGCGTATGCAAGAGTTACTCTACAAATGACACTTAACATAAGATACCTTCAGCTTTTCATTTAAAATTGTCACTTTTTCCGGATTTCTGACAAGAAGTGTCACCTCATAGCCTCGTCGTAAAGCCTCATGTGTCAGCTCTATACCAGTGGGTCCTGTAGCTCCAAGAATGACAACTTTCATGCTGGTGATGGAAGCAGCCTTGGTTTGCTGCTCACAAAAAATCAATGAGAAAAATAGTTTTAGTTAGAGGTGTCCAGTCTATCATTGTTAATGTTTTAGTTAGATGAGTCTATTTTTGTCCACTGACCAAGCTACCAGAGAAGCCAATTTTGTGGCACAGTTGTTTATTTTTATATTTGTTTTATTGTAAGAGTAGATTATTAATAATAAACTGGGCCTCGTGTTTTAAGTCAAGTGCTACAGCACTAAATTAGGTTTTATATATATAAAAAGCAAAGTGTGTGTGTGTGTGTCTGTAGGTGTGTGCTTGTCCTTTATGCATTACTACACCTTGCATCACATCGCCATGAAACTTTGGGAAATTGTTGAGAATACTCCTGGGGAGGTTCCTGCGAAAAAATAAATTTCAAATTCGCATGGGTGGCGCCCTAGCAAGGCGCAATTTGATTCTTCTCTGTATACGGTACATAAATTTGTTCAGATTAAGGCGCAATTTGATTCTTCTCTGTATACTGTACATAAATTTGTTCAGATTAAGTTCTGTTTGCTATCCAATCTTCTCACTTCAATACAATGTATATCCCTACTTAAATTGTAGCCCACGCAAAAAGTTTATTGCCTCTTGATAATAGCCTACTACCAGTGTTTCTTCCAGACTTTTTTCTCCGGGGGGGCACTTGAAATTTTCGGGGGGGCGGTAAACTTTCTTCGGGGGGGCGGACACTGTTAAAAGTATATATTTTCTATATAAATTATATAAATTTCATTTCGTTCGGGGGGGCGGTAAAAATTTTTCGGGGGGGCTTTGCCCCCCCGAAGAGATGCCTGGAAGAAACTCTGCCTACTACACAATCCATGGTACAGCACTTGGGACTAGACATGCCCCCCCCCCCCAGCTGGATAGTGTGTGAAGATCTGATGAGCAATAGATTACCAATGTTCATTTAACCACGAATAACACATCCGTGTAGATAGGGTCAAGCAATGGGCCCACACATTAACACATGTGTCGTTTACAGTCCACGCGTTCAAGCCTATCACATAATGATGTAACAAGATAATAAACTGGCCGTTGGTTGAATAGCGAGAGGGGCAAGAAGGGGATGGACATGGTACATTCTTAAAACTAACAAACATGTCCATGACGCATTGATACAGCTTAGTATAGAACGTACTAAACAGTGTTTAGTAGTGTTACAGTGACAATCAACAGTATATTTCTTGGCAAAGTTTCAAATATTAACCTAAATGTTGTTGTATAATTTTAAAATAACAAATAGAAGAGTATAATTATTTAAATAAAGTAAACAAACAAGACAGGTTATTGTATTGTTCATCTAGAAACAAGATGGCTACATAGCCCACATGGTTAATTGCAACCTATCATGAATTATTTTGATTTACTGTACTATAATGTGATTAGTCAAGCGTATCAGAGAATCTTTTCCCATTCATTATATTTACGTGCATGCCCTTATATGGAGTTTGTTGATATCAAATTTTACTTTGTAGAAAACAACGTTTATCCAACTTATTTGTGAAACAAATAAAAAAGTCGCTACACCGTCGGGAACACGATTGCTTGGCCGATAGATTGGTGTATAGTTTATGTCTCGCAGGCAATAAAAAATGTAATCCCCGCTTGAAGATAGCCGCTGTCCGCATAATGGTGTGGAAAATCTGCCGGAGGGTACCATGTTTCACATAGCAATAAAAGGATGAGCGTTGGCTATAGAAGTCCGAAATGTTCGGATTAGATGCGCAAAATTTCCCTTTTATCAAAATATGTGTATGTTCAATACTTAAGGTAAAAAAAAATTTGGCAAAATTTGAACCTTCAATAAAAACAATCTAGAGATGAAAAAAAAGGAGAGATATATGATACATTATTTTTAATACAATTAGGAGAGTTGTTTAGAAATTACACAATTTCAGAATGCTTTTAGTGAATTGATACTCAAAAGCCAGCAGTGAGAGAAAAGGATGAAAAAATATAGCAATGTTGGCAACGTCATAGCAAAACCATGAAAACAAAGGGAAAGCCATTCTACTTTTTAAATAACATTAGGAAATGAACTTTTAAAATTTAAACTATTTAATTTACAATAGGCCTAAATTAAAAACTTATTGATTTGCAAAACCCATTCTCAAGAGCTCAGTATCAGAAAGTAATGAAAGATTTCGGATCGTGTTTTTTTTTAAATTGCAAACGCTGACAATACTGATAAGCCTATTATATTATTAACAATAGTATCCTAATTATTTTAATATTGAATAGGCCTAGATATTTAGAATTTAAACCTATTAAAAAATCTAGTTTAATCTAGGCCCTAATAAGTGATTTTGGATCTCTAGATCTATCAGTAACTAAGTTTTTCGGGTTGTTTTTTTTTAAAAGAAAAATACAAACCATAGCTAAATACACAGATTTTAAACTGTTCATGACTAATCTTAAGCACAGAGTCTATTGACTCTTCTCAGTTGTGGTGAACTGTAGTGTGTAGAGTAGTGTAGACTATTGTAGAGTGTTGTGTGTAGGCCTACACTACAGACATTTAACAATATTTAACACTAGGCCTATATATTTCTATTTATTTACTATTTAATTTATACTTAGGCCTACATTTATACATCATAAATATATCTACTTCAATAACACTTTAACTAACAGTATTCTATCCAGCTGTTGGAAATTATAATCGATTTTTACTAAATCTATCAAAGATTAAAACCTAATCCCAAAACCTAAAATCTATACTAGATTATATACACTATAAATTACTCAATAACACATGTTGCAGATCATAACATTGACTTTTTCAGCCTTCTGTGTCAGAAAAAAATGCTGATAATCAAGGCCAGAAAGAAGTACAGCTAGAATCTAGATCTACATCTATAATAATTTAATAAAACGTTAGGCTTAATTTTTTTTTTAAATCATTAGCCATTAGCCCTATTCAAATTGACTTGTGTGCTATCCCAAATGTAAATAATGAAATATATTTTTTTAAAAAGGCCTATACTATCATTTAATAATATAATATTTCAATCACAAGTACAAGTATTATATATCAGAGCTGGACTGCTAACCCGTAAGGTCTCGAGTTCGAATCCGGGTTCAAGTCAGTAGACCATCCCTGAGTCCACCCAGCTCTGATGAGTACTTAACTCACATTCCGTTAGGGGAAGTAAAGGCTGCTGAGCATGGTGTTGACCACACTATCTCTATTTTCTTCATATGCCGAGGTCACAGAAACAAGTGAACTCTACTTCACTTGCCCCATAAACCGTCAGGTTTGAAAGGGAACTTTACTTACTTACTATACTACTTACAAGTTACAAGTATTAGATCTAAAGTATCAAGATCTAGATCTAGGATCTAAGATTCTAAATCAGGGGTCTCCAAACTACGGCCCCCGATGTCCTCTCATCCGGCCCACGGAGATTTTTATGTCCACAGAAAAAAAATGTTTGTTGTTGATGGCTGAGGAACTTTGCCCAGAAAAATCAAATACATGCCTGAAAGAACCTGACCCCCGAACTGAAATTTGATAGTTAATGCGGCCCTCGGACTGAAAAGTTTGGAGACCCATGTTCTAAATCAAGTAAATCTAAGCCAAGCATCTTCTAGACAATCTATCTAGATCTAGATGTCTAAATCTTTATTATTATAATATTAGTAATAGTTACTAATAGTTAGAATCAAGAATCTATTTGAATCTAAATCTAGAAATAGATCTAGAATCTATAGGCCTATTACTATTATTAGATAGGCCCTAATAAAATTAAATACTAAAATAGTTAAAAATAGGCCATAGTAATAGTACTATAATCTAGATCTAGATCTAGATCTAGACTTAGATCTAGATTCTAGATGTAGATCTAGCTAGATAGATTTCTATCTAAATCTGCAAATCTTGACTTGATCTAGACCTCTAGATCTAGATCTAAATCTAGAAACTAGTGACATTCTAGTCTAGATCTAGATCTAGATCTAATCTACTCTAGAATCTAGAAAAAGAAAATGAAAACAATCACATCAACCTTTCGAACAGCAGCAACAGCTCAACATTAATTCACAGTTGCGCGTGCTAACCAACATGTAGATCTAGATCTCGGCCTAGGTCAGATGAATATACTTTCTGACTTTAAAAAAAAACGAAAGCCAAGCTTTTAGTTACTGCCTTGCCCATCCCTCTGTGTAAATCTATCTATGCTATTGCTAGGCTATGTGCTCTGCTTGGCTTTGGACAGTGGCGTAACAACCATGTAACAAACGTGGAGAAAGTCTACGGGCCACTGAGCGTTTTAAGTGGAAAAACTAAAAATTCATAAAACAACGTTTTAATAACAAGCTTTTATGTAATAATGCACTTATAGGAGAAAATAAATTAAACTATAAAGAAAAGCGTGGGTCTCTTCCTAAATATTAGTAAAGGTAACCAATAGTCATAGATACTTATAAGTGGCCCACGCGTTTCTTTAAATAACTATAATTAAATTTATAGTTATTTAAATAGTAGTGTCTAGACACTTACAGATAGTAGTGTACATAAAACCTTGTTATTAAAACGTTTTTATTATTTTATTTTTTTTCAGTACCGTAAATGTTTTAAATGCCCGTAATTTAGCTCGGGCGTTTCGATCTAGACAGACTGGCGACAGGCAGAAACAAGACAGTGAGTTAAAAATATTTCATAAAACTTTCATAAAAATCGTTTTGATAACAAGCTTTTATGTAATAATCCACTTTAAAACTTTCAACGCCCCCCCCCCCCCCCCAATCACATAATCATCTGAATCATCTTGTTCTGAATTAAAAGAATTACATTAATAAATACAATAATTATCTTATTATATTAACAGAGGCGTGGCTAGGGGAGGGCGGATGGAACGGCCGCGACAGCGCCGACCCAAAGGGGCGCTAATAATACATTCATATATAGATGGGTAGATAATAATATAAAAAGCTAATTACTGAATTATATACAGTTGAAATTAAGAATGTTGACTGCTACCTGGCATTACGGCCTTAATTATTTTCTACATCAATAATGTGACACCAAAATAAAAAGGCAAAGTGACTGGTAAAAACCGCCCCTACCTTTCCAAAGTAGGGTGGCGGCGAATTTTTAATAACGAGAATAACTATATATAGGCCCAATTTGAACATGGGGCGCAAAATTGATAGCTCGTCCTGGGCACCGAAATAGATTGCTACGCCTTTTTATATTACCCTGTCTTTAGTTTACATAATATAGTTATTAATTATTACTTTTTAATAACGGCAATTACACATTTTACGCCCCTTAATGGATAGCGCCCTAGGCCTGCCCTGATTATTAGATAAAAGATTGTTATTTAAACATTTTTTATGAAAAACAAGGTAATTAAAAAGTCTAGTGACAATTTTAGCACAATTTCCTTATGTTATCTAAAAATAGCTCTGTCGTAGCGTAAATCAAGAGCAGGGTTAGTAAAACCATTGGTTAGTTAATTAGTTATTAAAACGTATGTTCAATGTATAAAATAAATAAAAGCAGTATTTAAAATTTCCGTTTTTTTCCTACCATATTGCACTTTAATAATCCATGCTAATTAGGGCCTAGATCTATGGTGGCCGGAAAGAACCGCAACGGAAAAAAGCGCAACGGAAAAAAGCGCAAAACAAAAAGCGCAACGGAAAAAAGCGCACACGGAAAAAAGAGCAAAGAGAAAAAAGCGCAAACGGAAAAAAGCGCAAAGAGAAAAAAGCGCACACGGAAAAAAGCGCAAAGAGAAAAAAGCGCACACGGAAAAAAGCGCAAAGAGAATAAAGCGCACACAGAAAAAAGCGCAAAGAGAAAAAAGCGCACACAGAAAAAAGCGCAAACAGAAAAAAACGCAAACGGAAAAAAGCGCAAACAGAAAAAAGCGCAAACGGAAAAAAGCGCAAACGGAAAAAAGCTCAAACGGAAAAAACGCAAACGGAAAAAAGCGCAAACAGAAAAAAGCGCAAACGGAAAAAAGCGCAAACAGAAGAAAGCGCAAACAGAAAAAAGCGCAAACGGAAAAAAGCGCAAACGGAAAAAAGCGCAAACAGAAAAAAGCGCACACAGAAAAAAGCGCACACAGAAAAAAGCGCAAACGGAAACAGAAAAATGCGCAACCAGAAAAAAACACAACGAAAAATGTGCAAAAGAGAAATTTAGCACAAAGACCATATGGACTAGATGACACATTTATACATGACTGTTAGGGCTGCTGTGAGAGTGTCGTGTTTGATCACGTGATCTACTACCATTTAAAGCGTACCACTACCATCTGCAATCCCATCAACACGATACAGGCGATAATCACTTTACACAATGCCTATTATTTTCTTGGTCAATAATTATTCAACTACTATTCTCGTATAAACATAAAACTATCGACATTACACGAAGTATCTTTCACATTCTCCCTAGTCCGAACTACCTAGCTTGCATACCATAACAACCCGTTCCTATGGCAAAACTTCACTCTCTTTCATCCGCGTCATCAAACATGCATTCGTCATATTTCTCGCATTAATATTATGTTTAACATAATTACAATCTACATGCTTCATACTAAATATTTTTAGATGAATTATAATTACAATCTACATGCTTCATACTAAATATTTTTAGATGAATTATAAAAATTCCTATTCGTATACAGCCTACACACATTACATCACATTTAATTAATACAAAGTTAATTTGCACTCTCTAAATATTTAATACATAAAAGTATTAACAAATATCATGCAAATATATATTTGTGACTTTTTTCCTGTGACTTTTTTTCCTGTGACTTTTTTTCTGTGTTTTTTACTTTCTCGTATATACGTAGTATAGAGAAAGTATTGTAATCGTGTAAAAAAAAAAAATCGAGATTTTTACAAATCTCGACGTTTTACACCTCACTGATACGGAAAAACATAATTTTGCAATCTTGTCCGTATGTCTGTGTGTGTGTGTGTCTGTGTGTGTGTCCGTGTGTAAACACGATAACTTGAGTACCGTTACAGCTAGGTTGATGAAATTTCATATATAAGTATTATATCAAAATCGTAGATCCGTATCAACTTTTGAGCGATTTCCGACAACCGGAAGTGGTACTTTTTCTACTTTGAATTTTTCAAAAGCCTATAACTTGAGTACTATTTCAGATAGATAAATGAAATTTCACATGTAAGTAAAAGATCTAATTCTCTAACTTCTGTTAAATTTTGAGTAATTTCCGTTGACCGGAAGTAGTAATTTACGCTACTTCCGATTTCTCAAAAAACTAATGTAAATTTTTAAAGTACTAATAATATTGCGCACTATTACGCACATTTGGTTTTGGTGCTAGCTTGGTGCGCATTTTTTTTTCTACTAGATTTTATTCTATTTTTAAAAGTTTAAGTAAACAAAAATCATGTCTATATTCCGAGTTGACATCCCACGTAGTGTTATATTAGAATATTCGAGAAAGTTTAGGGGAGATTACTCCCGGTTTATTTTTTCCTGTGTTTTTTTCCTGTGACTTTTTTCCTACAATCGGTTTTGTGCCCTGCGAAGATGTTCCATATACTCGTAACATGTTTAATAGGTCAAGTATTAGTATAGTATGCATGAACCGGAAATAACAAGCACGTGAAAAAAACATTTCTAGACCTAGATCTAGAGTCTAGATCTGTAGTCTACTCAACTCTACTCGATCTCTATTGGCTGTAGAATAGATCTTATTCTAGATCTAGTACGAGATTTTTTTATACCAGGTAACTAGATCGATCTAGTCTAGATCTAATATTAAATAGTAGTACAATAATATAAAATAGGTAGCCTAACTAATAAGTAATATTTATTGGTAGGTAGGGCCTATAATTTTTAAGGTAATCTATCGTTTTGGGTACGTAAAATCGCCCGCGACTAGATCTAGATCTAGATCTAGTAATGTGAAAAAAAAGGTGACTCCTTAAATTTTAATAATTATTTCACATTTTGAGGAGGATTTATATTTTGAAAAATACAAAAATGTTTCCTTCTTTCATTTATGTACCTGTTTTTAAACAATTGAATTAAAACTTTTCAGTAATAAATGCAGACTAGCCATGTTTCCAACAGATGCAACCATGCTCATTTACTATAGCCATAGCAGCTATCTTGTTTAAGTTTTTTTTTTCTAAACTTATAGTGCAAGATTCAGGGGGAAGCCACTCTATTTTACAAATGGCTGCTGTTTATATAGCAAATCTTGCTTGCAAACACTGCTGTTTTAAGTTAATTTCTGGCCCATATTTATATATTTAGTTATTTAGCCATTGATTTAGGTTTATTATTTATTTATCTATAATATTTGACACAAACATATCACAATATACTTCTATTAAAGCCTTGACAATGAGGTAACTTTTTCGTACATTATTAGCCGCGGGCGATTTTACGTACCCAAAACGATAGATTACCATTTTTAATTACCTACTACAAGTTAGGAATGTTGGGATATTTTTCCTAATTACCATAGAATGATAAAATGTACACAGATTAATCCTATAATATACCCCATTGATAAAAATACCAAATTTATCATTCTAGGCCTAATAGTTTTTTTTATATGAATTTTTAAAGTTATGTATTAAACCTGTTATATATATCACTGTAACATCGGATTTAATTGTGTGATCGGCTTTAGGCTTGCATACCACTGCTGCTATTCGAGATATAATTATAAAACTTTGCACATTAGTGCTAGAGAGTGTGGGCAATAGAAATATGAAAGTAAAATCAAAATTTGATGAAGGATAATTAGAACTAATCAAGTCAAATTAAAGTGAGGGGTGCTGTTCTATATAGGTCAATATGCAGACTGAAAGTCTATGTGTTTTTTTTAATATTAAAATTGAAACTTTGCTAGAGGGTGGGGGCAATAGAAATATAGAAAAAAATTATATTAAGTATGACTGCATATAATTAAAAAGTCCTATGAAAGGGTGTTGCACCCTTTTATAGTAATTATAGTGACTGCAACGGACGTATGTCCAGAATGTTACTATAATAGATAGGATACATTTTGGTTATTGATACGTTCACCATCAAATTTCCAAAATTCGTGTGTTGTGTGCCCGACCCACGTTTTTTGTCATCAAATGTATGAACAGCCATCACAAGAACCTGCACAGCTCGAGGAAGCACAAATTCTACGAGCAGTCATTGGTAGATCCCCTAAGGTCGGAAGAAAAAATTATTTTCTACTTTTTAGTCCGCAAGAAAAACGTTGTTGTTTAAAAAGTTTTTTTTTAAGTATTTTATTTTCTCCTTTTTAGTCCGTTGCTACAAATGAAAAACGTGGTTTTTTAACAGTTTTTTATATAGTTTATTTTCTACTTTATCTAATGACTTGATTAAGTATGACTTGACTAAGTGTTTTTAAATACAAAAAAATTTTGAGGATTTTTTATCAAAATAAATTCTATGTGGGTGTGTTTTGAAGTTAAAACTCGTAACCTAAACTTCACTGATTTACAATAGCGTCTTTCAAGATAAACGTCTTCCCAATGATATCGCAAATTTGCTTGGCAGTGCGAGACCCACAGCAGCCTACATGCCGTGACCAGGATTCGAACCTGGGTTGTCGCGGCCACAACGCGAAATACTAACCACTATATGATCACGGCCAGCGCGCTCACATCGATTGGGGCCGAAGTAACTGTGTCAATAGGCCTCCAGTCTTGTCGGTATCTTTAGAAATCATGTCCTCTATTTTAGGGTCCTTGGGGCGTAATTTAATTAAGCTAATTTAGGTCTCTAATTGCTAGTTTTTATGATTGCATCTGAAATTGTTAGGCGAAAATAGCCTGCATGCCGAATTTCAGATGTCTAGAGCAATCAGAAGTGGGCTAATTTTCGTTGTCAATTTTAACAACAAACCCACAAACAAACAAACGCGAAGCTGAGTTAAGAAAAACGTGTTAATAAGACGATTAGATTTACTAATGTTAAAAGTAGTATTAGTAAGAAGAACTAGAACAATGTTTAGTAGCAGCAATAATTAGCACATAAACTTAAAATAATTAGAAATACAAAATAATTACCTTTGATTAGCAAAACAGTATTTAAAATGCAACTAAAATCTATCCATGCACATTTTTAAACATTATGTATTAAAAATAATATGACAGCAAATAAATGATGGTTTACAATATTTCTGGTGGTTTCCGGAACGGCCGACAGACTACGCCATGGGTTTACTGTTTTTTTACTGCTGTACAATTCCGGAATAATAACCAACGCTATATCGTGATTTTACCCGCTAAATATATGCCATCTCCGCAGTGTTAAAAGAATATTCGAGAAAGTTTAGGGGAGATCACCCCCGCTTTATTAATTTTTATTTTTGTTTTATTAAAGCAGTATTAAGAGTATGTTCCTCTTCTTGGCTTCAAATTATCAAATTCTTCTTTTTAGGCATGGCTGTACCTACTATTGTCTGACAGGGGTAGGCATGTCTGAAAGAATATCATATGATAAATTCTCTATGTTTGCATACTGTTAATTTTTTTTTTTTTAATATTAGTTTAAAAAATATCCTAAGCTACTAGATTTTAAATGATTGGTGACTTTTCTCTTTAAGGTTTAGCCTGTTAGAGATGGCATTCCAGCATCCTCCACCTGACTTTTCACGCCCACCTCCACCAGTCTACAACTTTCAGAGATTACCATCCCCACATTTTTCTAACAATTACTATCAGTCATCTAATCCACAATTGATGAATCAAAACAGATGTACTTCTTCCCATCAATATAATGCTTGGAATCCATATCAACAGAAGCCCATCCCTATCAATTCCAATCTAGTTAGTTCAGGTGTGTTTACTGGTCCAGATATCTTCAGCTTACCACCACGCCAGGCTTTCCCCTATGTTGGTCATTCACAGTCTTCTGACAACTCTGGTCAGGGCAGACACCAAACAGGTTACTCCAACAAATTTACTAAGGTAATAGAAGTTAATTCTTCATGTTTTAAAATTTAATCTCTAGTTTCTAGTTTATTATGTAAACACTGAATTAGATGCACAGGTCATTAGCTTGATACTGGTTTTCATCCCTTTATATTTTTGAAGAAAAAAGAAAAGATTGACAAAAGACTACTGCCTGAGAATAATGTATTTTTTTGTGACATCTGTGATCGTGGATTTAAATCAGAAGAAAAATATAAAGAACACACTGCTGGCCACATAAAAGTAAGTTGTTTCTTCAAGACAAATTTTATTTTCTCTTGAAATTAAGAGCGCATTACCTTTGTTTTCTTTATTTTTGCTAATTAAATGATTTTTCAACCTTATTAAATAAAAAGTTAAAAAGCTGTTGAATTTTTAGTTGAACTGGATCCTTTTAATAAATTTAATTAACCGCAAACATTTTTACAAAAACTTTTATTGTTACTACTATCTCTGTTTGCCTGGACCACTATGAAACATGAATAATTTTGTTTTATTAAAAAAGAGTGTGTTTGTATTTGAAGAAAACATAAATAGTAAGATAAAAAAATTATAAAATTCTAGCTTTCTCCCTTTTAAAATGTTATTTTTGACCTTAGTACTCAGATGGTAATAAATTTTATATTTTGAATTTCAGTGCAAGTACCAAGACTGTCCATTTATAGCAGCCCCTAAACTTGTTCAGCTTCATATGTCTATGGTATTTATAAAACAGGGATGAGACTTCTCTGAATTTCAGTGGATATCCTGAATTTTTCATTTTTTTTTCACTAATATAATTTCATTAAAGAAAATGAAGTAATTTTCTTTGACTCTTAAATGTTGCCATTCTGCCATGGCAATGTAGGCCTTCATCTTCCAAACTCATTTCCCTTATTGTAATGGTAGTAAGGTGTTGTTAAATTGTATCTAGCGTTATTTTAATTTATTGTCCCTTTTTTAACTGCTAGCTACCACCTGTACCATTTCTTTTAATTATGGATATTCAAATTTAATTTTAAATCTTTATAACGTGAACTCACAATGACAGAGTACTTATTTGAAATTGCTTTCCTGCGAAAAACAAGCAATGTCACAGACAATAGCTGATGCAGTTTGCCATGCTAAAAAAGTTGTCCTTATATTTGTTGATGATCTGATTACATCCCTGATAACATAAGTAGTTGGATAACTCTACTTGAATAATAATTTAAAATATCATATTTTTGATGGTGCTGAGGCATGCAAGTTTCTGTTTCAGCAACATAGGTCCGGTCTTGCTAAAAAGGTTTGGAGCTTGGAATCGGAAGAGGATGTGAAAAAGTGGAGGGATGAGAGAAAAAGGTGGGTTTTCAGTGCAACCAAAACTGCATCTGGAGTCTCATTTGTGTTATCAAATTCCATTATTTACTTCAGGGATTTGACTTTTCAGATTTTTACTGGAATTCTCATTTTTCCCATTTGAACTGGAGTTTTCCTTCCCTTTTTTTTTTTTTCTTTTTGCTGACTTTTTACTATTGTTTACTAAGTTTTAAAAATTCAAAAAATTGGCACAGAAACAACCAGCATTTTTTAAATTGTAATTATATTATTACGATAGTACTAGATGAAGATTAATATATTGGTCAAGGTTCCATCTTTTCAGAATAAATGGGAATTTTTTTTGGTAAGAATGTTCCCTTATTTTCATTTGCTTGTTTTCACACTAAAAAGTACAGATAAGGGTAACCAAAAATGTTACTGTTTTTTAAATGAGCATGACTTATCAACCGTTAATCTCATATTAGTCTTAGTCTAGCTATAACCTAATTTATCTGCTGGTATTATAACTCACCTTTTTTAGAGCTCCTTGTCTACTGTTTCTCTAAGCCTTCCATTTTTTTGCAAATACCTCACATAAGTTTTGAAATCCTAGCAAAAGGTGACTGAGGACTAGTCTAACCAGCCCACCTTGTAACAATGGTGGCTTGCTTATGTGAACTCACCATGACCCCAAGTTTGTGTTGTAATACTGCTTGTTTGGGGGGGGGGGGGGGGGAATAAAGTGATGTCATAGTAGGTATGTCAAACAACTTATGGAAAAAACACGGTTTTCGTCCAAAACACGGGGTCGCCCAAATGTAGCTATTCATTTAATATTTTCTATAATAAAAAAGGCTCGTATAGTAATAATTCTCTACCATTAAAAAGTAAATTGTAAGCGCCCTAATTCTGTAATTTTTATTGTTGTCATTACACAATGTATCTCATTTATCAATTGAAAGCTGTCACTGACATGTTTTTTTCAAAAGACTAAATTTAATGTTAATGGCTTATCCAACATGCACCTGAAATGGGGCAGGGGGTCTCTTCCTAAATATTAGTAAAGATATCAAATAAAAGCTTGTTATTAAAACATTTTAAATGCATATTTTTACATCCATCTTTTGGAATATGACTGGATCATTAGTTTTAATAAGCTAATTTCCATTTTTGTTAAACCTAAATTATAAAATTTGCAATTTAAAAAGTTGTTTATATGGGAAACATTAAATTGCAATTAGATAGAACTTCCATTGTTATTTTACAGCAACATAACCTTCTTTTATTTAAAGTATAGCTAAATTAAAACATTGAGTCCTTGTTTTTAAATATTTTTTTTTTGTTTTCATGGTCTGTAGCTTTCATTATTATCTGAGATTATCCTATCAGAGTGAGAGATACTAGCAACTGAATTTTGGACCTTTTTAACTTTTTTGTTTAACTTTTTAAATAACTTTATAATGATTGTACACTTTATAAGTTTTCCTACAATGCCTGCCAGAAAATGTTAACTCTTGTTGATTTAGCCTATTTAAATTTTTTCCTTTTTTTTTATGTTTTCCACAGAAATTTTCCAACAGCTGAAAATATCAAAAAGAAATATGAAGAAAGGTCTGAAAGAATGGCTAGAGGGGAGATAATCTTTGATAAAAGTTTTCGGTTAGTTTTTAAACATTGCATGACCTTTATCAGCATGCACTTTTTGTCACAACTCCTTTCTTTAAAAAAAATATCTTTTTTTTTACCCAAATAATTTAGCTATTACTGTAAGCATAACCCCTATTAGTCTACACTGCAGCAATTAATCATCTTATGGTGAAGAATTTTTTAAACAAATTGAACACATAGCTTTCAAGATTGGAAAATATTATTTTAAGTTAGAAGTAGTTAAATTCGTGGCATCAATCCTAAATACTATAAATATTTTACTGTGAGATAATTTGTCTGAGATCATTTGTCTTGGTATCTTTTTTCTGTGAGATCATTTATTTTTGACACCTTTGTCCTTGAGATAATTTGTCCTTAAGATAATTTGTCCTTGAGATATTCTGTCTGAGATTGTTTGTCCTGAGATCGTTTGTCCTGTCACTGCCCTACCACACCTTACAACACAAGACATGTCTACATGCTTCTAAGGCTAACATTCGACTGTCCTAATTCATTCTCCCAGCCTTAGAAACCTAACCCTTGCCTGACCCCGGCAGTCTAGCGAGGGGTGGGGCGCCCAGCCTGCACATAGCTAGGTGGGATGGGGATGCCTTCCTATCATCTTACTGGCTGTCCCAGTTCATATGGGGGATGGGAGGAGAACCCACTAGTAACATTAACAATGTACTTAGTTATAACAGTGTACATTTTTAACATCATCATGGTGTCACCCCTTCTTTGGAGAGGTGTTGAACTGTACTTAGCCCTACCTTCTTTAAGATTGCATTAGTTAAGCGGAGCGCAAGTAATAGTCACAATGTGTTTATCTATTATCATAAATCTATTCAACTCAATTGAGGATATTTTTCTTTGTAATAAGCAAGTTCCTGTCTTGGTTGGTGCCGCTGCCCCTCCTGTCTTTAGGGTAATTTTTTGTAATTTGATTTTTCATATTTCAGAAAACAGAATGGGGACAGGGGTAACAGGGGGCGTGGTCGGGGTCATAGAGGTAGAGGTTCTAACAGAAGGAAAAATGATTGGAGTAATGATAAGTTTGACCCTGTGCCAGACATTGATGGCAAGAATTCAGACAGTGATAATGAACCACCAGAAGAAATGGCAATACAAAAATCTCAGGCAATAGGTAAATCAAACTAGTACTGGCTTTTGTGCATGAGTTTAAACTTGTTCAGGACATACAAATACAAAATGTCTGATAAATCTAGAATATTAGTTTGTTTTAAGGGGTCGGCGTTGTCGAGTCGGTAAAGCTCATGGTTGCTAAACCAAAAAGTCTCGAACCCTTGGGCAGATAAGGCTCATTAACTGGGGACAGCCACTCTTCTAGGAGAGACAACTCCAAAATCAAAACAACTGCTGCCTTGTAGTTTGTTCTTGGTTGGACAAAGGCTATGGAAGCAAATCCAAAAAGAAAAGCAGGCTGAAATCTGAGTCAATGGCGTATATTTAATTGTGTTGGAGGCTTGGTCAAGTTGTTAAATTCAATAAAGTCTTGAGTTCAAACCCTCTGGCAGATAAGGCTCAATCCCCTCCAACACTAAAAATTAAGAACGAAGAAGAAGTTTGTTTTAATGTGTTAGTTACCGCAGCATACCCAACAAATATTCCATTTCTTTATTTCCCTAGAGAATAGTATTAGCTGTGAGTCCAATGGACATGATCAAGTATCACCAGCTGGGGGCCTGGCTCTATTGGCTTCATACGGAGACTCTAGCTCTGAGGATGAAAACTCAAATAAAGAACTTTCAGCAGGTTTCTCTCTAAATTTTTTGTGTGGATTCATACACTGAACCATCTCTAACCTTTGCTTTTCACTTGTCATTCAAGTGGTATTTTGTATGAACTTGTAGTAAATATACATTCACACATTTGCAGGCACCACACCGGAGGCAAGAATGGAGATCTCCTTAATAAAGGCAAATGGGCTGCAAACTGATGGGACTCAACAGGAGAATGAAAAATCATCAAGTATTAAACCATCTAGCCACATTCAATTAAGTGACATAAACACAAGTAAGAGAGTGGCTCATTCACCGAAGGCTGGCAAAAAACATCCACTGGAAAGCCCAATTACTGTCACTTCACTTAAGAAAAGGAAATGGCTGAACCGGCACCATAATTATACACTGCTGGAAAAAGTAATATGTTCATTCCATTTTTATTGTAAAAAGGGTAGCTTTAATATTATTAAGTTCAATATCTTTCCCTTATTTAAGTTGTTTAGAGAAAAGACATTTTAGCCTGCGAAGTATCAGAATTAGCTACAAGTTATTTCATCCTTTTGTTTCATTTGGTTATACACTATATTACTAGCTCTACTGTTGTCTATGTTGGTTTTGTTCTGGACTAGATTTGATACTATTAGTGGGGAATAGCTTTTCAATTGGTGTGGATCCATGTCCCGAATAACTGTGCTATCTCAACTAACCAGGCATTGATGAACTTATGACCAAGCAAAATTGACGATTGGAAACAACGCACTTGTATTTGGCAATTCATGATCAAAACTAGTTTTCTTTTTCATAAAAATTAAATATTAGAAAATTTTAAAAACTTCATTTTTCTACCAAAATCATAGATTGGATTAGTATTAGAATAAACACTTTTAATTTCATGATTCATTATTCAATATGCTGCTATTGCTGATGTGTTCCATAGTGTTAAAATATGGAAAAACTCCTAGCCTCCCACTCAGGGTGTAGCCTTAATGCTGTCTAGGCAAGCACAGATTGTAACATGCCTCACCCAGCTCCAACATAGACATAGAGGATAAAGCAGAGTACTTATATTGAACTCAAAAAAACTTCTCAAACCATAACCATCCTTTTGGGAAAGATGAACACCAAAATAGGACCAGAAAATACAGGAAACAAACATGTCGTAGGCACCCATGCACTTTGAGAAATAAATGATAATGGAGAGATAATTTGGATGTATGTGTGATGAACAACCTGAGCATCTGGGGCCTTTAAAGGGATCCACAAAAATACTTGGGTATCACTAGAGAACCAGATCAACCATGTCTGCATAGTCCCAGCTTCGGAAGGTCTTTACATGATGTTAGTGTCAATATAGGATTAGATGTGGCATCTGACCACCCTTTGACTTAGTCCTCTTTGCTCCTTATGGAACATAGGGCCTCCACCATTTCCTTCCATTTCTTCCTATCACCGGCTATTAATTTTGTCATCTCCCAAGACATCCCTGTTGGCTTCAGTTCTTTAAGAAGACTCCGCCTCCAGGTCTGTCTTGGGCGCCCTCTTTTCTGCTTTTCCTGGGGGTTCCACTCAAGTGCTTGGTGTGTAACATTTGGGTGAGCCTTTCGTGGCATGTGACCCACCCTGCGCCACTTCCTTCTTATTTGCACACCCAAAGGCTCCTGCCTAGCTTTCCTCCATAGTTCTATGTTCGTCACTTTGTCCTGCCATCTCCGTTTCAATATCTGTCTAAGGCAGGGGTCTCCAAACTACGGCCCACGGGCCGCATGCGGCCCGCGAGGTCCTCTCATCCGGCCCGCGGAGATCTTTTTGTCCTCGGAAAAAAACGTTTGTTGGAGTTGGCTGAGGAACTTGCTCAGAAAGTCACGACATGCCTGGAAGAAACTGGCCCTCGAACTGAAATTTGATAGTTAATGCGGCCCTCAGACTTAAAAATTTTGGAGACCCCTGGTCTAAGGCATCTATTCATGAAGGTCTGTATCTTTGCTGTGCTTGCCTTGGAGACTCTCCATGTCTCTGCTCCATACAGCAGAACTGCCTTGACATTAGAGTTAAATATCCTAATTTTTGTGGTAATGGAGATGGCCGAGCTTTTCCATATGGGTCGCAGGACTGTGAAAGCGAAGTGGGCTCTATTAACTCTAGCACGTATGTCCTCCTCTGTGCCTCCCGTTTTGCTAATCTTGCTGCCAAGGTAGACAAACTCTTGCACATCATTTACCTGTCTTCAGTCTATTGTCACTGGGGCCTCCTGGTTATTGTTAATTCTCATCACTTCTGTCTTTTCATTGTTGATCTTGAGACCTACGCTCTGAGAGATGGCTCCTAATGCATCAACTTTTTCTTGCATGTCTTGTAGCATGTGCGAGAGTAAGGCAAGATCATCTGCAAACTCCAGATCTTCTAGTTTCCCCGCGAGTGTCCACTGAATACCTTTTCCAGAACTGGCATAGGCTGTGCATGTCACCCAATCGAGAACCACCAAGAAGAGGAGGGGCGACAGCAGACATCCTTGTCTCACACCTGTGTTGACCTGGAACTCTTTAGACAGTTTCCCTGCATGGCTAACTTGGCATGAAAATCCATTGTAAAGTTGCTGGATTATTCCCACTAACAAAGCAGGTACACACTATCCACACTATCAAAGGCCTTCTCAAAGTCAACAAAGCAGAGAACACCATTTGGTCGTGGATAAAATTAGCTAAAAGAGGTCAACTTACAGTTACTGTTTCTTCGTACAACTTAACATCGACTGGGTGATAAAGACAGCCACCTGATAACATAGCGATGGAATCCAGTGGACTCAAGGAAACAACTTGACCACTTGGACTTGAATCCAGTGGACTCAAGGAAACAACTTGACCACTTGGACTTGAATCCAGTGGACTCAAGGAAACAACTTGACCACTTGGACTTGAATCCAGTGGACTCAAGGAAACAACTTGACCACTTGGACTTGAATCCAGTGGACTCAAGGAAACAACTTGACCACTTGGACTTGAATCCAGTGGACTCAAGGAAACAACTTGACCACTTGGACGTGAATCCAGTGGACTCAAGGAAACAACTTGACCACTTGGACTTGAATCCAGTGGACTCAAGGAAACAACTTGACCACTTGGACTTGAATCCAGTGGACTCAAGGAAACAACTTGACCACTTGGACGTGAATCCAGTGGACTCATGGAAACAACTTGACCACTTGGACTTGAATCCAGTGGACTCAAGGAAACAACTTGACCACTTGGACGTGAATCCAGTGGACTCATGGAAACAACTTGACCACTTGGACTTGAATCCAGTGGACTCAAGGAAACTACTTGACCACTTGGACTTGAATCCAGTGGACTCAAGGAAACTACTTGACCACTTGGACTTTACAGAGGAGCACAAGCTCCTCTCCCACAACCAAGAGCAGATGATGGAGAAAACAAACATGGCAGACAAGTCGTGCTGGTTGGGTGTAACAAACATTAGATAGGGCATACACTGTTCAGTGCTGGTTGGGTGTAACATCCAAACATTAGATAGGGCATACACTGTTCAGTGCTGGTTGGGCTTCACCAAACATTGGATAGGGCATACACTGTTCAGACTTCCAACCAATATCACCAGGCAGTCATTGAGGAGGAACCCTCAAGGAAAGCGAAAAAGATTTCCACCGAGAAATACCTGGCAACGGGACCTGGAAGAGTAAACTACAAAAAATGGGGAGTAAGTTGAGAAATAGCACAGGACAGAGAACTTTGGTTGGCGGCCATACCCCAGCAGGTGTGATTGGCAGCGATGTGATGTTAAAGAGTTGCATCGATCTGTAAAGATTTAACCCAAAAATAGATTCTAATTTAAATGTCCAGGTTGACCACATGCAACCACATTACTCTACCTTATTCATGTAAGCTACACGCCACTCTAACAAATGAAATGTTTTGGAAATTAAAACATTAAATAGTGTGGGGAAGGTTGTGATAGGATTTTCCTTTAGATTTTAATTGCCCTTTCTATGTTTACTTCAATTTCTTGTTGCGATGTTCAGGGGAAGTCTGTAAGACTATTAAATGTCCTGTGTCTCCTCCACTGCCATTAAATTTCCTGTCACCTCCACTGCCATTAAATTTCCTGTCACCTTCACTGCCATTAAATATCCTGCCACATCCACTGCCATAAAATATCCTGCCACATCCACTGCCATTAAATTCCCTGTGTCACCTCCACTGCCATTAAATTCTGCACCGCTGCTAATTGATTCCTTCTTTTAGTGTTTCATGTAATCTAACTTTGTATTTTCAGTTACTTGCCCCTGAAATCAGAAGAGAGAGAAACAAAATTCTTCAGTGTGTGTATTTTATTGTACAACAAAAGTTCTTTGAACCATCCCAGCCGGCCCAGTGAACTGATTTGTCAATCTCGACACGTCTAACAATGACTTTTATTTACCTAGTGCACTTAAATCCAAGCATTAAATGCTGTTATTAAAGCTAAGTCTTTGTTGCTTTTTATCACTCAGAAGCAGGCGGTTATCAAGCACGTTTAGTCGCACGTTACCGTCAGTCGACTAAAAACATCAAGGGGTATTTAAGTTAGTGCAGAGGTCATTAAACGCAACTGATTTCTATTATTTGCTTTTGGATTTTGTCAGTGTGGTCAATAGAACTAGCGGCCGATGACAGTTCAAATGCGACCTAGTAATAAAACCCTTGACGTCACCTTCACAGGCGTTATGTTCATCACACCTTGGCTTGGTGGTGTGATGTACATACTTTCTATATCATGGCCCAGTAGTCGACTTGTGATTTCTTACTTAATATTTTAATCCCTTCATACTAGGTCGAGCAAAAAAAAAATAGCGGTGGGACGATTATGTGTATAACGAAACTTGATGGAATCAGCATCCTAACTGCATGGTTAGCTATGCAAAGTTGAGCAATTTTAGTTTTCTACCAACAAAACTGAAAGAACAATTCCTAATCTGCATGGAGATGGAAGAAACAATGCTCTAAAGGCAACAGAAGAAGCCCCACTGATTTTGCAGGGTGCTGGAATATGTTGAGTCTGGCAAGCGGCCCTTCTTTTCCCGCTACCCTAAATGGCGTAGTTAGGTGGGGCGCCTACGGGGGTCGAAAAAATATCTCGTCTCATTTTTAAAGGGCAAATTACTTAAAATTTTACGAAGGCAGAAAATTAGATCTTTTAGTTATATGTGAAATTTCGTTTATCTATCTGAAACGGTACTCAAGTTATAGGCTTTTGAAAAACTTACAAATGAAATTTCATCAATTCACGTTATCGTCTTTATTTCAGACGCGAATATGCATAAATCAGGATTAATAATTTTTGCCCTATACTCCTTATGTGATGAAGTAATGTGTGCACCTCCAAAACGGCCCCCGTCAAAAGGGCCCCGACTTATTGGCTGCCGTCAAATGGGCTCCCGTCCAGTGTTTCTTCCAGACTTTTTTCTCCGGGGGGGCACTTGAAATTTTCGGGGGGGGGGGGGGGGGCGGACACTGTTAAAAGTATATATTTTCTATATAAATTTTTTTCGGGGGGGGGGGCTTAGCCTTCCCCCCCCCCCCCCCCCCCCCCCCCCCGAAGAGATGCCTGGAAGAAAAAACTGCTCCCGTCATACTGACTCGCGACATTTAGGCTCCCGACAAATGGACTCCCGACATATTATATCCCGACAAATAGGCTCAGGACATACTGGCTCCCGACATAAGGGCTCACGACGTATTGGCTACCGACAAAAGGGGCTCCAGACAAATGAATCGCATTACTACTATTGGCATAAATGTAATCATTTGTCCTACATCCACTACCACTATAACCTCTTTCGAATGCCTGCATGAAATTGTTTTTCATGAACCAACATCAATTCACAAACAAATCTAGCCCTTAACAGCTAAATTCCGCCAATTCTAAAATTTTGATAATGTCTAATTTACAACACAAAAGATCTGTTGGTTAAAAGCGAGCACAGAAGTGTAAATATGTGATATACATGATGTTTACAGGATAACTGCATTTTGTTTGATAACCTACAAGCATACTGCTGGTAGGAATGTACAGTGTGGACCCATCTCCCCACACACTGAGTTGGAACAGCCTATAACCGACTCACTTATGGAAGTCTTAGATTTAGATAGATGACCCTTAAATTAAAACATATTATTTCTTATACTAGATAAAATAATATAAAAATAAGGCCTGTCGAACAAGAGACGCATAAGCTATATTACTTAAGAGTGTTGTATAAGCTAACTCTAAAGAATATTGATGAAGGGGTCCCACTGGCAGGTGTCATATTCAATAATGAGACTGTTTTGCCGGGAGACTTAGTCTCTACGGAAACCGTATTGTCAGTGGTCCTTTTGTCGGGAGCCAAATTGACAAGAGCCTATTTGACGGGAGCCGTTTTGTGGAAAAACTAAATGGCGGGAGCCTATTTGTCGGGAATCGTAATGACGGGCGCCGTTGTGTCGAGAAACTAGATGACGGGAGCCTATATGTCGGGAGCCTTATTGACTGGGGCCCTTTTGTTGGGAGCCTATTTGTCGGCAGCCTACATGACGGGGTCAGTATGGCCCTTTTGACGGGGACGATTTGTCGGGGAAAAGTCAAAATTTCATGTGATTTTTGTGCACGATTACAATACTTCCTCTATACTCTGTGTACGAAAAAGTAAAAAGGGGTCGTATAATAATAAATAAGCCCTCTAATTCTGTGTTATTTGTATAGTTTTTTGTATATCTAATAGAAATATATAAAGCTCAAACGGATTCTGTGCCTCTTTGTGTGTGACAGCGGACGGACAATGCAGGACACCACCACATAAGCTCGCCGATTATTGATAATCCCTCGCTATCCTGGCATGCTCAGCAGACTATATCGCTACCATCCCCACCAGTCTGTTTACAATCGTATAGAGTCCTTTCATATGACGTCACGTCCGTTCGTGATACCTACGCCCGCCGCCACAGTGGTGTACACAAGACGTAAACACAATCAGCTGTTCGCCAGCGCTGGACGCGTTCACTGTAGCCTATGTAAAGAACCGCACCCGCGGAAAGGGGAAAATACGTTTAAAAACTTGAACTCTTAGGAATTGAAGATCCTTATACTGTTATTGACAGTTTCGTATAAATAAATATGTGGACAAAATTTCTAAATAAAAATACTGTTAGTAATACTGTTTGCGTTTAGAGTTAAAGTAGCCGAATCTGATCAAATGCAGTTCTCGATACTTTGTTTCATGTAAGGACAGTAAAATAATAAACTTCATTTTAATTATAAAAGATAACTATTAATAAAACAAATATGCTCGACCTTCACAAATACTAATAGTAAAAGACAAAGTCAAAAGTAATAGGCTAATAAGAATAATAAGATCTAATAGTAGGCCTAATACCTGGCTCCGCTGGGTAGACATAGAATCTAGAATCTACTTCTTTACTTAAATTTAATTACTTTAGATCTACATTCGATTCAAAATACACCCATAATAAATCAAAAGTAGTCATAATAGGCCTAATAAAGCATTTAATTGTCTCTAAGATCTAAAATCTCGCTCTATTATCTAATCATTTTTTTAGCAAACGAAATTTTCTGAAATTGAAATAGATTATATGACTAGACTTAGATCTAGAATCTGCTACTTAAATTAAATTGTAAAAACTTTATACAAGCATGTAGTTGATATTATTGTAGTAGAAGGCTTTAATAAATTACTAAGGCCTACCTACTTTGTTGTCTTTTTACAGCAATATGTATCTGATACTGGACTGAGTTTAATTAAATTCAAATTCATATCTAGTAATTGGTCTACTAAGTTTTTGTAGCCTAGTAGTACAATCTAGATCATACCAGCCAACAACAAATAACCACATTATTATTATTTGGTTAATGATTAGGCTAAAAAAATTTTTAAATCCACTGTTTATAAAAGAAACAAATCAAGCTAGAAACATTATAAGTGAGATGGTTTAGAATAATAACAATGGACCCAATCTACAATTGATACAATTGCAGATCTACATAGGGCCTACAGTCTAGTAGTTTACAGTAGGCACCTAGTGTGTAGCTAGTATACTAGTGTGTAGCTGTCCAGAGTTAAGATTCTTAATGCCTTAATGCTTTCCCCCGATAAGCCGTGTGTGCTATAAATGACATAACATGACACCGAGGTGAGAAGTGTTGAGGGGAGAGCAGTGGGACTTTCCCCTTTGTTCTCCCTGCTGTGCCCTGAGGGTCAAAATTATATCAGAAATACTATCTCTGTGGGGCTGGGTATCACGGAGGTGAGACATTTTCAGGGGAGGGCAGGGCAGACTCCTCTTTGGTTTTATTGTGGGCTAGATACAGGTGGGGGCAGCCATCATGAGGGTTGAACGTCAGTATTAATGTGTCTGATTACTTCCCTGCTGGATTATAAGGGTCTTAAATTGTATAACATGCTACCCAGATTGGTTATTACCCATGGATTATATTAGCCGTTGTAGTGTGGGTTTTGTAGGAGTTAAGTGGTCTCACGTTTGCTACAGTAGATAACCTCTAATATATTACTGCATTTGATCAGCTTCGTCTACTTAAACTCTAAACGCAAACGGTATTACTAACAGTATTTTTATTTAGAAATTTCGGCCACATATTTATATTATCCACGAAACTGTCAATAACTGTATAAGGATCTTCAATTCCTAAGAGTTCAAGTTTTTAAACATATTTTTCCTTTTCCGCGGGCGCGATTCTTTACATACGGTGAACACGTCCAGCGCTGGTGAACACGTCCAGCGCTGGCGAACAGCTGATTGTGTTTACGTCTGATGTACACCACTGTGGCGGCGGGCGTAGGTATCACGTGATTTAGGTCACGTGTTTGCAAGGACTCTATAGCCGGGTCGAATTCGTGACGGCTATTAGGGGTAGATAATTGAGTTTTTAAACGATTTGAAACTAAGGGGAGGAAATAACAAGTTCTACTTGAACTTTTCATTGTCGTCATATACGGCTGCTTTCGCGGGGAGTGGAAAGCTAGGAGAATCGTCCTTCACAAGCTACTGGTAGTGTTTTAAAGCAAAATATTTTCAGTCGTAGCATTGATACTGTCGAATTAACAAATTATGAATGACTGAAAAATAGAAAATTAAACAACAAAATAGTGAGGTATGCTACGTCGCGGGTCAGCTTCTATTGTAAATAAACCGGGAGTGATCTCCCCTAAACTTTCTCGATAATCTAATATATAAAGCTCAATTCTGTATGTAACATGCAATAAGTTTGTTTGTCGTGGACATACTTGGATGGATTTAAGTGTTAGATTATTATCGTGCTCATAGTCTAGATTTATGAGTTAAAAAATTACTATTGAAAGTGTTGGGAAATAATTTTCATTTTTCAAATTGATAGTAATAATTGTCGGCATTTTCATTAAACGCAATTTTTAAAAAAATCATCTTTTACAAAAATTCTAATTATGTC